CAGGAAAGGTTTCGACGCATTTCTAGATAGGCTAAAGCTCAGCATTTTGGACGTTGGACTGACGGTTCAGGTAAGTTTCGGTCCCTCCCCTAAACAAGGTTGTTGGAGACTTTTCTCGATTCTAACGCCGTTTACTTACAAACAGGGTAATAAACCCGAAGAGTTGCCGGAGCAGATCTTATGTTGTGTTCGGTTGAGTGGCATCGACCATATGAATTATCACCAACTGTGTTTAAGTTGAGATTCGGCGGATATAAGTTCCGAACCACTATGTTTATAGCTATTAGTTAATAAAGAAAAAGGGGGCCAACTTCAGAGAAACTTGAGCTCCTCCTTCGTTGGCAGTACATTTTCTGAGCTCCCTACTCGGTTGATATTTAGAGCCTCATGGCCATTGCAGGTCGTTCTCGTTCTCGAGTGTGTTCAACGAATATAATTCAACCGTCTTTTAATCGTAATTCGTCGGCTAGGACTGCAACAATTGTGAAGAGATATGCAGAAATAACTTGCGTAAGCAGAGGGGAATATTGTGAGAATGTATTTTGATTGTGGCATCTCTGTATTTACATGTTAGAAGCATGGCTACATATAAATGGGTGAATAATACAACACCGTCCGTTTTCAATATCCACCATTGCAAAGCATAGCAATATTTATTGGGTAAAAATGATATGCATTATGGCCAACGAGGCCATACCTACTAATAACTCCGTCATCGCCGCCTTCACGGCTTCCTCCGTTGAACCCACCAATGTTTCCCCGTCGTTGACCTGAAACTGCTACTATTTCTTGAATTTTCATGAAGTGACCGACACAAAACTTTGATTAATTAAAGGAAGAAAGCTTTGATATAAGGTGAAGATATTCATACATGCACATGTTTTGAAGATCACATGAGGTTCTGATGTCTGATAACTTTAGTAACAAAGTATATTTAATGTGATTGCTTCACTTTAGTAACAAAGTAACAATTTGCTTTTTATAAAATTTAATTGTTTAAAATATTTAAAATAATCATGATTAAAACTTAATTTTTTTAAAAAAAAATCAATAATGAACCCATTTAGTGAAACATAGGATGTATTTTACTTCTATAATTGTGGACATGATATTACTTTCTTTTTCTAGTCCCACGTGTTGAAGAGTCTTTCCTCTTCCTTTTTATAATTTAATAATTTCATTTCTTATTTGATGTGTGAATAAATTATTGTTATAATTATAATTTCAAAATGTTAACACAAATATATATTTTTTGTTTTGTTTAATAGATAGATTATGGACTTATATCAACAAGGTATTTCGAATTTGCTTGAAGAAAGGGTAAATTACAGAATTCGTCACTTTCGTTTGATTTTATAATCTTTTTCTCATTGCATTCAAAAAACATAATATTTAATCACTTTTGTTTCGTTTTAATTAAGATGTAGTTACTGAATGTTAACTGCCATTAAACCTTAAACAGTTTGCTGGTGTGTTATGGTAAATATATAAAATTAAAATTACATAATTTTCACTTAGATAATATGTGGATTAAGATTTGGTTACTTTCCTTTCATATTTGTACACTTTTGCTCACAAAATTAAAAAAAAAAACATAAGTTTTGGTCACTCATGTTATTGTTTTATTAAGTTTTTGTCACTTATGTTATCGTTTTATTAAGTTTTGGTCACTTGGACGTTGAATGTCGTTAGTTTGATGACAAGACCCGTTAGTAAAATGATTTAATTTTTATTTTAACCCTTAAACTTTAGACAAAATAATGATTATGGCTATTTTTGTAAATTCAAATTAGTCTAGGGACAACATTTCAATTTGTCAATTTTTAATATCTTTTATCTATAATCCCCAATATTGCTTATGTTCTCCCTGCTTCTTCTTCTTCAGACATCTCTACTCCATTGCAATAACCTTCTTGTTCCTAATTATTAGTTGTAATTATTTGAAGTCAAATTAGGTGGGTTCTCATTTGTAAGAAAATGTATAAAAGAAGTAATGAAGCCTGTGGAAAATGCAGAGAATTCACCATTACAACTCTAAAAAGATTCACCACCATGGCGATGCCAAAGCCTCAACCCGAGAAAACTAGAACTTCTTCAATGGCGGCGTTATTGACGATACAATACTAGGTTTCCATCTCCGACGTATTGTTGACCAATGAAATCCCGGTGATGAAAATGATCGTTGAAAATGTTTTGTCGCATCTGAACATGATCGACCTCCATGGCGTTTACAAAGATCAAACAGACGTTCACTTAGTTGTTTGATCGCGTCATCATAGAAATGAGGTACTCAGAGGCTGGCACGGTTGCAGTGGTGTGACAGATCACGCAGGCACATGGGTCAACGGTGATTCATAAGACGAACATTGTTATGGATCTAGAATCATAAAATTGCTTGTTCTTGAGCAAAAACAAAGATTCGACGTTGAAGATCATGGATTTTGGATTGAGTTCAGTGAATGAATTCACAGATCCAGTTATCATTTTGTTTGGATCCATTGATTATGTTTCAATAGAGGCACTTTCTCAAGGGAAAATCACCACAAAAAATGATATCCGATTATCGGGTTATTTGGATCATTGATTTATCTTCTTGTTCCTTATTGGATTAGGCATTATGCATCTCAATCTTTAAAAATTAAATTTTAGTTTGTATAACTGGGATTACCCTACTTCATTTTATCTCTAGATTGCTACCCTCTCATTTTTCTTGAAATGCAACACGAGTCCTTGAAAGAAGGAAAATGAAGCAATGGAGCTGAGATGTCTGAAGAAGAAGCAGGGAGAAGATGAACAATAATGGGGTTGGAAAGAAAGCCTATTAAAAAATGGGTAAATTAAATATTGTCCATAAACTAATTTGAATTTACAAAAGACCAATTATCGGTATTTTGTCTAAAGTTTAGGGGTTAAAATAAAAATTAAATCATTTTACTAACGGGTCACATCATCAAACTAACGACATTCAATATCCAAGTGACCAAAACTTAATAAAAATATAACGTAAGTGACCAAAACTTAAGAAAACAATAACGTAAGTGACTAAAACTTATGTTTTTTGAATTTAGTGAGCAAAAATATACAAATATGAAAGAAAAATGATCAAAACTTAATCCACGTATCATCTACGTGAAAATGATATAATTTTAATTTTATATATTTACCGTGCCATGCCAGCAAGCTGTTAAAGGTTTAACTACCGTTAATCTTCAGTGATCGCATCTTAATTAAAACGAAACAAAAATGATCAAATATTATATTTTTTGAATTTAATGAAGAAAAATTTATAAAACTAAAATGAAAGTAAGCAATTATTCATTTATCCTTGAAGACATTATATTCTAATCAATGAAAAAACAGATTAGAGCTAGAGGCACGTGTTAATAATTATAGATTGTATGTAACTATCATTATAACTAGACATTCATTTATAAGTTTGTGATTAGTAATAAAAATATTTTTCCTTTAAAACCCAGATGAATACCTTAGTTAAAAATCGTGAATTAAGGGTTTATATCCCATAAGATAAGAGTGATTTTTTTAAATTGCCCGTCCAGCTCAGTTGGTAGAGCGCAAGACTCTTAACCTTGTGGTCGTAAGATCAAGTCTCACGGTGGGTAATTCATAATTCTGGCTGCCAGAGGTTTTCTACGGAAGCTGCTCTCAACCTGGCGTTGGGGCAGCCTACTATCTTACCTCCCCCTCACCCTATTACATATGTGAATAGGGTCGGCTAATTTAATCTATTGACCGACTAATTCAGATCGGGTACTGCAAAGGCGATGGCGACCTCCCCAACCCAGTTTGCTCTATTCGCAAACGTCAGGATTCGAACCTCTGACTTTACTTAAGAGACCTAATGTTTCATCCCACTAGACTAACTGATTGTAGGTAGGATATGAGTGATTTATTAAACGCATGATATGTAATTATGTCTCTTATTTGTTAGATAATTGTATTATGTCATAAAGTAGCAATAAATTATTGTTAAATTATTATTATATTGAAAAAATAACATAAAAATAATATTACATTTCTCAAGGAAAAACAAGAAGTTTGGGAGAAAAATATAGACTATAATGAAGACTTTTTTTTAACATAAAGAGTTAGATTTATCGAGTTATTTTGAAATTGATAAAATGGTATAAGTTTCAAGAACTAAAACTATTATTAACCACATCAATGTCTCCCTAATATTTAACGATGAAGTGACTTGTTTATAATAATATTTTAATTCACATATTTTTATATTTTTTATACAAAGGTGATATATTTATTATTAAACTTATAATTAAATGACCTTAGACATATTTTACCCTTTTGTTTTCTACATGTTTAGTACCGCAACTATCACATTTATTTTATCTTGATCATCCAATTATTTTTGTTTCAAAATCATACCTAACATTATATTTTGGTTTCATTTTGATCACCACCGTTACTTTTTATAACGGTGGTACTAACACGTCACCATAAGATAATGTCACATCATCATTTAAAATATCACATCAACGCTTTTGTTAATTTTTTAATGATGGGCGAGTAAAATGAAACCAAAACGTAATGTTAAGTATGATTTTGAAAAAAATAGTTTGGCGACTAAAACAAACAAAAATAATAGTTGGGACACTAAACATCATATTAAGTGTTTCAAACATAATTCTCAACAAAGACACAGCAACAAAGTAGTGCAAAGGACAAAAAAGGTTAAAAAAAAACACTCCAACATTTTGGACCTTTTGCTGAACGCATATCAATCGGTGGTGGTTGCCGTCGCGGCCGCGGCTTTCAAGAACATGGATCTAAGCTTCATCCCAAAATCAGAAAGCTTATCAATGTCGGGGAAAACATCCTTCACCGACGCATGGGAGGAGAAGCGATCGGCTCACGCCGCCAAGCTCGGAGTTTTGGCCTCCGACAACACCTTGGTCTCCGTAAACTTCTCCATCACTTTAAGCCACGCCAACAAACTGCCCACCGCAATATCCACGTACCCTAACTCATAAAGCTCTCCCTTTGCTCAACCTTTTAAAAGCTTCCTCCAACAGGACCGAACCTTCTAAAACCTCCGCCATCGCCGCCTTTTTGACTTCCTCCGTTGAACCAACTAACACCCTCCCCATGACCAGGAAAACTACATCATCCCAAAAAGAGCAAAATATTACAACCCAGACAAATATTTAAAGCTTCTAATGACCCCCTAACAATATTACAAATATGTAATATTTGTGAACAATGATGAGGGACTCACAGATGGGGTTACCGCCATGGATGAGGACGGGGGCTTTCTTGTGAACAGGGTTTGATTTGAGAAGAAGCTCGCTTTTGCCCTGCATCATGTTTTCTTCTGCATACTCGTAGTTGAGGGATTTGAGGTGAAGGGCGATTCTGACCCTCATCACGAATGGGCTTGACCATGCTCCCAACACCTTCATGTTGCTCTCGCCCATTCCCTTTCCTCTTGGAACTGCAGAAAAGACGTGTGCTGTTTTATGGTGGTGGTGCAGTGCTCAGTTTCACAGAGGCGGATAGATAGGTGGTGGTGGTGGTGGTGAAGTACACAAATGGTCCCCAACTTTATGATATTGCTTTATTATCTCCCTCAATTATTAAAAAGTTACAAAATGGTCCTTTGACCATGGAATGTTGCTTTATTAAGTCCCTCAACTACTAAGAGTTACAAAATAGTCACATGACTATTCATTATGTTCCAAACTCGTCTTTTTCCATTAAAACAATTGACGGTTGTTTAAAGTGGACATTAGCATGATGACTAGGATATGATAGTCGTTTGAGATTATGTGATCAAATTTTACCATATCATAGTGAATATATTAACATTCAACTCAAAATACCATCTATTTTTAATGATAAAAAAAGGAATTTTGAACACAATGAATAGTCGGGTGACTATTTTATAACTTTTAATAGTTGAGGGACTCAACATAGCAAAACTATATATATATATATATATATATATAATCATAAAACGATCCTCTGACTATAGAGTGTTGTTATGTAAATTATCCAGAAAAAAACATATATGTAATTACCGGAAATTAATATCTTTATAAATTATGAATGTTGCGAATAATTTCTTAGAAGTACGTGGATAGGATGGGGATTTTAAGCGTTTAAACATCATCAATTTTCGAGAGGTATAAAATTATTATTCTAATTTGAAAAACGAATAATGAAAATTTTGCAAGAGAGGAAACAAATTATTCAGTAAGATCTTAAGGATAATTGCATCAAAGTATTGAGAAACTATTTTTTAATAGTAGAAGAAAATAGTTGTTTAGATTTTTTTAATTTATTAAATGGTAGACGCAATAGTTTAAATTAATGTTCTCTTTATAAAATACATATTATTTGGGAAATTACACAAATGGTCCCACGATTATGGGATATTATTTTGTTAACTCCCTCAACTATTAAAAGTTATAAAATAGTTCTCTGACTATAGGGCGTTGCTTTGTTGAGTCTCGACCATTAAAAGTTTCAAAATGCTCACCTGACTATTCATATATTTTAAACTCATTATTTTCCGTTAAAATTTGACGGTAGCCTAAGCCGAACATTAATAGGTTGTTTGAGATATAATAAAATCTATATTAGAATCTCAAATGACTATCATATCTTAGTCATCATGTTCACGACTAACTCATAATACCATCAATTTTTTTAACGAAAAATGATGAATTTAGAACATATGAATAGTCTTGTGACTCTTTTATAACTGTTATTAGTCGAATGACTAAACAAAGCAATACCCTATAGTCAAAGGATCATTTTAACTTTTAATAGTTGGAGACTCAACATACTCCATTAATATTATAAAAATACTTTTCGTATTATTACCAATAAGTTTATTCTTTTTTTTCAACTTAGTCTCGTTTTATCAATTCGGTCATTTAATTGACTTTTTTTGAAATTTTTTGTCATTTAAATAACTTTTGTAAAAAAAAAATCATTCTCATTAATTCTTTTGAAATTTGATTCTTTTATACTCTCATCAATAATTTGTATTAAAAAATCTTATTTAAAAATAAAATTATAATAATTAAGCACATTTAATTTCAAAACAAATTAATTATACTATATATTATTATTCTAAATATTATTTGATTTATCAAATAATATTGCATATCTTACTTAACATAGGAAAAAGAACATGTATATGGTTCGAAAAAGTTCGAAAAAGTCTTTTAAATTAAAATGAATGTATAAAAGTTACAATTAAATTTAAAAAGAAACTCGAAAGATTCGACTCAAATTTCATAAACTCAATTCAACTAAAATAATAAAATAAAATTTGAATAATAAAATAAGAGTAGTTCACTCGACTGACTCAAAACTCGACTCAATCGAATATTCACCCTGATAACTGTGGACAAAGTTGCTGAAGTAATTAATTAACTAATTGGTCTTAAACACCATATATACAGTTTTACCAAAATTATATCTATTGATTTTCTTTTGTAAATAACTGTTGTCATCTCATGTTGCAGCATTGTGGCCTTACTTGATTTACCAATTTATCCCACATGCATAACATTTGTCTCGGTGACTGGTAGTGGGCAGTGAAGTAATCCTCTATGCATCCGAACTGGCAAAACTTCAAGCTGTGTTGGTACTCCACCCGCTTCGAGCTGTTGAATTTCTCCACCCACATCCCCATGCTCACATCCTCCATTTTGAATAGCTGCAACAATGGTGTTTTTGATCAACGATTATCGAGCATACCGCTGTTTAACGGACGTGCAGAGCGGAGGTGTAATAAAATGGCTCACTTACTCGCAGCTTGTGTTTCTCAAACTCGGTTACGATAAACTGTGCGATGTCGGATGAGATTACGTACCCTGGGCCGTTGGCATAGGGTGGGTAGTCTTCTTCTGGCCATTCCTGGAAATCAACAAAATATGTAGATTATGATGATGCGCACATGATGTTATGCGCTAAACACGATCGGGACGATGATTAAGAGATGATCACTGATTTATAAGTCGACTGAAGGCCGTGTCGGCTCAGGTTAAGACCTAATGATGTAATCACACTTATAGCTAAAGAAAGGACATGTTTAGCTACCTACAATTAAAATTCTAAATTCCAAGTCAGATTATTGTTGTTCAAAAGAAATATTTCACGCTAATCAATCTAGAGCAAGTATACAAATATCACTAAAATATTACCGATTCCGCATTCACAACTCGGGTAGCTACCGGGAAGCGTTAGTTAAAAACATGAAACAAATTTCCGACGTACCTCATATGTTACCGCCCATTTACCATCGCGCAGGGGCTTGTGGTAATAATTCATATTTCCAATATAAATGCTTTTATCTCCAAACTTCTGTACTTCCGTGATCACAGAGTCCACCCGAACAAATGTATTATCATCACACTTCATAATATATTTTGCCGCCATTGTACGGACCTGTGACAAGAAGAATACAAGAGCTAAGTTCTTGAGAGTTTACAACTAAGAAACAATATATGCACTAAATCATATGTTGCTCAAACCCGAACCGAGTGACGGATATGAATGTGTATGACATAGGCATGCTCAATTTTAAAGTTTTAACATGTATCCGGAGGATTATTCCTAACACCCATGTTAAAATATGTGTATGAGACTCATGTTAGACAACATGGACTATATCAGTTAACAAAATTTTAGCAAGAGTAAAATAGGCAATGTCGGATCACCGGAGCGCTCACCCCATATTCAGAAATGGCAATTGTCTTTAGAACAACTAGGTCATAGTTGTCCAAGTAGGGAACTATAACAATATCACCAAAATATTCCGCTTCCTTTTTCAGCTCAACGTTTACTTCCTTTCTTCCACTCTAAAAAATAAAACTAAATAAACCAAGCATGGGAAATTTCCAAAGGAAAGAACCTGTTCCTCCTTTATCTATGCTTACCAGTGCTACGAAAAAACGAGTAACAACTTTCAAAGACTTTATTAACTTATACTGCATCCACGACTTTCTCACAGCCATCCTCTCAGCAAAATGATTGCCAGCAGAAAGGATGCCAATAAAAAGCTCTACATCTCCTTCAGGAAGTGCGGGCGCCTTCCATTTACTCAATCTCTCGAGATGCTTTTGCGGATCAAAACTTGGATGTGAATTGGGCAAGGAAGCAGCAAATACAGAGTGCACATCAAGGTCACCCTTTAGAGATAACCCGGTAGCATCCTCGAGCACAAATCCCTGTAAATGCCATCAAAAAGTTTATAAGGTGTCGTATCTTTCCCTCAAATCAAATCATTAAGCCAAAAACACGATGATACTCACAGTTCAATAAGGAAATGAGGTCACATGACGCCCATCGACATTGACATGGTAACCCTCCAAACCAGCCCTCAACGTGAGAACAAATAACTTTCCCTCCGCAAAAGGGTACTGCCAATCTAGTGTCACCTTCTTCTTCCTTCCTATCAATCTGTTTAACCACCATGTTGCCTTCGATTCTTCCGAGCCATCATCATTGTCCCGAATCCACTTCTCACATTTAACTTCTCCATCAACTACCCAAAGAAAGAACCAAACAATCAGCAAATCAGTAAAAAGCATTATATAACTTTATAAGTATCTTTTAAAACAAATCATTCCCCACAAGATCATAAAGCAACACCATAACCAACTTCACTGCCTACCATTATTAAAAAACTAAGCAACACAACACTTTCAACCTTTTCTCAACCTACATTCTCTCTTGATTTAGCATTGACTCAAAACCTTTTCTCAACCTACATTCTCTCTCAACCTACCATCCAGCTCAGTTGGTAGAGCACAAGGTTCTTAACCTTGAGGTCGTAGGATCGAGTCTCACGGAGGGCATTTCATAATTCGGAGGTCTCTTACGGAAGCTGCTCTCAACCTGGTGTTGGGGGTAGCCTACTATCTTACCTCCCCTTACCCCATATATATATATATATATGGGAAAAAGGGACAGCCATTTTTTTTTTTCAAATGCACTGATGTGTATAAAAGCCACTAAAATAAATAACCTGTTTCTTCATCAGCTCTAGAATTCCACCCTTCGCACCTCATCGCCGATCCCCATTGCATCCGATAACAAGTATTCTGCTCGATCACCGGCTTCCCGCTCCAATCCCCTTTCAATCTCGGATTGAAATGAAGGATCCGAGGCGGATCCTCGCCGTCCACCGTCTTCAACCCTTGCAATTCCATCATGAATTGCGATACCATCAATGACTCGTCCCCTTCTTTCAAGACTACAATTTTCGGATCATGTTCTGCATGCGCCCAATGCGGCATTCCGACCACCGTAATATGTGACCGTAGCGTTAACCCGCAAGGAAGGACGAGGATCCTCCCCTGGTTCACGAACTCCGACCCGGATAAGGAAATTGAATCCGGGCATGATTCTGTTTGATTTTTGTTTTGGTTTTGCTGTTCGAGTTTCGAATCGGGTTTCT